GAGCAAGCTGGCTGGTGGCTGCCCTGGCCAGAGACACGTCCCCAGGCGCGCCTGGCTCTCCTCCGGGCGCTTGCTAAGACTGGGCATTTGAAATCTTGAAAAGCTGCAGGAGAAGCCCTGACCTCTTCCAACCGCGGATTTCCACCCAGGGGCAAGATGTGCCGAAAGCTGTTTGAATAACCCGGGAGCGCTTTGAAGAAACTAGAACCCAGGCGCTGTAATATTAAGCAGGAAAGCTGGGTTCTTCTGCACATCTGTTCTTAGAAAGGCAGGAACGAAAGGACTTAGAAGGCAGTGGCGGAGTCCCGGGAAGACTCTGGTATAGCTGCCACCAAGACAAGTGCTATCTTGTACTTGAAATAAAGACAGACACGAAAATGATGATGTCTGATCATTTGCAAATGTGCCCAAAGCATTGTGCATTTCCCAGGGAGGGGGAAACATTCGCAAGCCACCCTGTAAAATAAGCTAGTGTATTTCCCTGGGTCTTGAGGGCACAGATGTGTATCTACCGTCTATAGCCATTGACATGATCATTCTGTTGGTTCTTAATGAAGAAAAGAGACACTATCTATTAGCAAGGCCCACATTTCATCCACACGGTGAGCTTTCCCCGTGTCTGTAATGTGAATCATCCAGCACTTCCTGTACGTTGAGTTCCGCTGGACATTCACTGAATGACCAAAGCACTCCTCTGCTTCTGGGGGCTATGCCTAAAGTTTGGTCCGTCACATCCAGCCTTTTATAGCTTTATTGGAGGGAGGTGGGCAGATTTAAGAAAGAAAGCCGGAGTTTCCGCTCGGATATTCTGAGTCCAAACTTCTCACACGTGGTCCTGTAAAACATGCGCACTGAAGCCTTGAAGCCCAGACAGTCGCCACCTCCCAGCCCCAGATTCCTACTGAGTTCACAAGGTTTACCAGCCCCTTGGCCAGCCTGCCGTGGAGCTCTGCGAATTTCTCACCCCTAGAGGCTGTCACATTGTCTCTTTCTCCCCCATTCTAGTATTCTCCACCTCCGAAGAGGACCTTTGACTCTCTGGGGTGCTGATTCCGAGGCATTAAAGGGCAAAGAAGAGATACTCCCCAAGAAGTAAAACATGACTAAAAGCAACGGAGAAGAGCCCAAGACGGGGGGCAGGATGGAGAGGCTGCAGCAAGGAGTCCGAAAGCGCACGCTCTTGGCCAAGAAGAAAGTGCAAAACATCACAAAGGAGGATGTGAAAAGTTGCCTGTTTCGGAATGCTTTTGTGCTGCTCACGGTCACGGCTGTCATTGTGGGTAAGTCATCCGACTGCATAATAATAATAATACCAATTGCATCTTGTTTCTCTTGGGCATCTGGCTCCTTGACAGCATGATCAAATGGACTGATTGTGGGCATTCAGGATGATGGCCCCAGCTTTCTGATGTTGTTTGGGTTTTGTTTTTTTTAATAGTGACAGTTTGTTGACATGTTTGGAGCAATATATGATAAACATGTGATAATCTGAAAGAAGTATCATTAGGCATTATGCAAATTAAGGGATTGTGTGGGGATGGGAAAGAAATTAAATGGTTTTTGTTGTTTCGTCCCCAATCTCATTTAAGGACAAAAGAATGATGATATTTAATCATTAGGCATGCGCAGTTAAATAACAAGAACAAGCAAGCGGGCTAGATTTAGCCAAAGGGTAATGATTAGAGTATGTCATTCTCACTTCACCCTAGTTTATATAATTAGTATACTCAAAATGAGATGCAGGTAACGAATAGGATTAATTAAGGAAGCCTGGTGGCACTGTCAGGTAAGCATTGGACTGCTCACTTCGGGGTTGGCGGCTCAAACCCACCAGCCACTCTGTGAGAGAAGGATAAAGCTTTCTGCTCATGTGAAGATGTATAGCCTTGGAAATCCTATGTAGGATGGCTACGAGACAGAGTGAGCTCAATGGCAGTGGCTGGGACTAGGAATTAAATTCTACGTGGTGATGAAGCTGAGTCTCCACCCTTAGACAGGGAGGCTGAATTTTTTCTGTGCTTCCACCCTCTCACCCAGTAACTGGGAATGGGCTGGAAAAAAACGTTAACACAGTTCTCTTTCATTCATTGCATCGCGGAGCCTACCATCCGCAACTGTCCCCCTTTTGAAGCATTGATGACAGCTATCTGTACTAATAAGACATTATTATTTTATTTGCCTTGTTGGAACCTGAAGTTATAAATCATGATCTGCAGGGTAGCACTGACAATACCTTGAAAAATTGCTGGAGGCAGGGGGGCAGGAAAACAACTTACTTGGAAAGTTCTATGAAACCAATATAGGAATCAGTAGGTTAGTGAACCTATAAGCAGAAGCCAATGCCATTTGTCAAAAATGATCTTCTGTTTCTGTTAATTTGCTGTACGAAGGCACGCGTGTAGTTATCATCTGTTTTAAGTGTGCCAATCTGTGACTTTCTTAAAAGGAAGATTTACTGGTATATGTAATATAAAACTTTCCATGTAGTATAGAAAGACAATTATAACATTGCCTCCCCATTGCTGTTCCCCAAAACAACAGGATTCTTAAATTGTAAATGAATAGAAATATGCAGGGGACCTAAGAGCCCTGGTGGTGTAGTGGTTATGAGTGGGCTGTTAATCTCAAGATCAGCAGTTCGAAACCACCAGCTGCTCCACAGGAGACAGACAGGGCTTTTTACTCCAGTAAACAGTTAGTCTTAGACATTCACAAGGGCAGTTTTACCCTGTCCTGTAAGTCCCTATGAGTCAGAATTGACTCGGTGGCATTCGGTGGGGTAGAAATCATCCCAAGACTTCAGATATACCCCATCTCAACATCGTTGGCTCCTTTTAGTAATCCCCATGATTACTGATCATCCATTCATGTTAAAGCTATTCTAAGAGAAGATGGCCCGACTGACCCAGAGAAGTTCTTCTTAAAGAGGTTCACATGTTTGAATATATTCCTGGAAGAAGTATTTCAATACCATGCCATTGTCCTTGAAGTCAATGCAAATTATGGTAACCTCACCTCATTCTTTGCTTTTGCAATAGTGATGGTCAACCCAAGCCATAGCTAAATGGTAACAGGACAAACACTTATGTAATCTTAGAGTTCCTGCCACTTCTCAGTTGTCTTGTTTCACAGCATACAGGATAGCTTTCACCGACTACACTCTCTAGATATACAGTAAAACCTGCAAAAGCCAGAATGTGGGTAAGGCAGAAACCTGCCAGAGAAGGAAATCTCAAACACGTTCTCTGGATAGAGATCAATAGAGAAGGGGTAAGGCAGCAAAAGCAAAGTGGTCCTGCCACGTTCAGGCTCTTACAGTCTTCACTGCATTCGCTCACTTCATCTTCCAACAAGCCTATGAAATGAGCGGGTGGGTGCAATAACTATGCTCGGCCTCATCTTACAGAGTGGGAACTAGCATGGTGAGACCACGCAACTTCCCAGAAGTCACACGGTGTCAGAAATGTTAGAGCTGGAAGTCAAACCCAGGCTGCCCAGCACCAATGGCCCTTCTCTGCCCCCTGCTTCTCAGCTCTGCTGACTAGTTAACATCTTGTGAGAGGTGCACGGAAGAGACATGCTGCTATGTCTTGCTGGAGGCTAATTAGTCCAGAGGGCTAGATAATGGGCCACCGTCTAGCATGATCGCTTTATTCTCTGATTTACCCAATTACACTCAACAGAAACCTGAACATTTCTTCTACAAAGGGTTAGGGCGCAATGATCTCATTCCTTGAACAAAGGCAATTTATTTGCTTTTTTATGAAATCCCAAGTATATAATAACATTTTAAAAAATCAAATAAACAAACCCTCTATCATCACGTTGACTCTGACGGGTAGTCACCTTATATTGGGTTTCCTAAGCTTTGTAACTCCTTCTGTCTCCCTCGGAGTAGCTGGTGTGTTTGAACTACCAACCTTTTGGGTGGCATCTGGGCAAAGCTTACCTGACAATGCCACCAGGGCTCCTTATATCCTCATAGTTCAGCATATTGGGCAGGCAAGGGGAGGGGGAGATGCAGACACATCATGCCCAAGGGTACCACCCGAAGAGTTCACTTTCTCGAACAGAAATATTTCTGCTGTAGGATTGAGCCCTGGAAAGTCATGAGAGCTACACATGGAAAGTAGGTCGGCGGAGAAAGAAGTGATTATCTTTGTGATTATCACAAAGAAACGGCGGCTCTCACAAGAAGAAGGGTGCGCCTGGGATGACAAGTCCACTTTCTCCAGGAGTTTGGGGATCTTCTCCAAACCCCGTGCAGCTTTTCCCTGGATTTGTGCGAACTGCAGGAAGAGCTGGCTGAGCTGGGGGAGATAAGTTGGCTGGTTGCCCTGGCGGTTGGCATTACTGATGGAAATTGCGGAGGGAGATGCAACAAGGGGGCCAGACGAACAAAGGAAAGGACTGAAAAGAACTCATTGGCAGTCAGGGAGACCACCGAGTCTCCACCAAAGACTAGAAGAGTTAACAGACCACTCCCGGCAAACAGCTTTAGGAGAAAAGGAAGAGACCAGCCAGTTATCTCTCATGTGTCTCGCATGAGGGCCCACTGGAAACAAAGGTTCCGTTTCATTTATCTCAGTAGGTAGCATGCCTGCACCAGTCTCCCTCTGCCTTTCGCCCCCAAATACTAGGGGTACCATGCCTAGACATCACTCTTTAATTTACTTGTTACAGCATTGAAGGGGTGGGGGAGATAATAAATATGCTATCAAAGAGGGAAAATGTAGCTATCTTCCTGAAGGATAAGGGATCAGATGAGATGAACTATAGCTATTAGAATTCCAACTCTGAGTTTTGGATTATTCTTAATTAAAAAACAACAACAACACTATATTGGAGTAAATTTCTGTCCAATCCGCTTTGTTTTATCTTTGGGAACTAAAATGAGGATGCATTATGTGAAAGTACAAACCAGAAAAACATTCACTGGAAGGGGTAGGGAAAGATGAATCTCAACTTTAGAGTGAAACTGAGCATTATAAATATTTGAATATCAATTCTTCTATAAAGCACAGACATAGAACTCCTTGTATCATGTGATGTCTTTTCTGAGAAAGGTATTTCTAACCTCATCTTAAACAGAAATCTGAAGGCCCCATGCCATCATAAAAGTAACAGGGACAGGCTAAGCATCCAAGAAAAAGCAGAACCAAGTCTCTTTAAGTGGGTGCACCTTTAACCATTAAGGACGGTGTCTTCCAGGGCTGTTGTAGACATCTGTCTGATAAAAACCTTCCTGGGGTCCACATGCTTCTTTCCCCCAGAAGCACTTTCTCTTTTCATACTCCGGGACTCTGGGAAAGCGTGACCTAGGGCAGCTCTCAGAAAGAAAGGGAGAGACATCTGTCATGTTCAAGGCACAGAATTCAGGCTGAAAGGAAGTCTCCGGCCAGAGCAATGGGAAGGAATGGGTCCTAAGATCTACTTCCAGGGCTGGGAATCTGTAAAGATAATTCCATGGAATCAGGTGGCAGGTTTCTCTATTGTTGGTCCTAACACACACACACACACACACACACACACACACACACACACACACACATAGAGCTAGTTGGTTATTCAATTTACATTTAGGTTGTCATTTTTATGAACCTGAAATTGGTCATTTCTCAAGAAAGAACATGTACTACCCAAATCTTTATAAAGTTCATCCCTAGCCCCTTGCTATTCTTCTGCAGTAAATTTAAATTGGATGGAAATTCCATGTAACTCTAGGATATTTGTGGCAGCCTATCCAAGGACCTGCTCACCTTGCCTTCTTTGGGGGGACTGCAAGCCGGGTGTCTGAGGAAAGCAGCGAAGGGAATATTCTTTTCCTTTGAACAATTTCTTTGGGGGGGTTTGAATGTTGTTCTATGATGGCCCGGTTTTATCTCAAAATACAGTCGATTGTCCACTAAATAAATAAAGAAATTATCCTTTTTAAAATTAAAAAAACCGATGCTTTTTGCATGCTGACAAGTACTGAGTGTTGTGGGCTTTATCATGTGCTATGCATACCTTGGCAATGTCCTGCACTGAGGTTGTTTAATCAGAGAGACTGTTGACAAGTAAGATGGTGAAAGAGGCTCAAAAGTATTCAAAAAGAAGCCTGCAATTAACCCTAAACATTTTAAATAAGCTCATATTATGCACACTATTCGATGAAACATCCATCTTTTTGTGTTCAGTAGCAGGTACAAGTTCTCATTAGCAGCTGTGCTGGGACTTCTGTGGGTGCCATTATGGGGGACAAAACAAAAGTGTGGGTTTTAATGAAGACTAGGCCTGG